GGTGGGCATTCTGGTATTTTCCATTTTGAAGCAATTATAATTCTTGCTGCCGTTGTCATGTAAATAATTCTGACATATTCTTTGAAAGAGTCTCCAGCATTATGTTCAAAAGCATATTCTTAGGAAACTTAGTTTTTAAAGTTTTTTGTGTTTCTGCATGTAGCAACTTCCAGAATCTTTTGTTTCACACATATGATAGAAAATCCCATTTACCCTGTTACATTTCCAACATTTTCTATTGTAGTTCTTTGGCGTAATATACTGCCAATAAAATATCTTATACCAATCTTTTCTTAGTGCTTGATTAGCTGTGAATTATTAGGAAAACTTTATAAGCAGTTACTTCAGCATCACACTGAAAATCAGCAAGACAAGAAATGCATGATAATTTGGAAGCAAAATCTTGGAGAAATATCACCTTGTCATTGGGAAGCTTTATGGAAGAAACACATTAAATTCACAGCTTGGCCACAGTTCTTGAGAGTTCCTACTGTACCCCCTACAAATCCAACCCACCTTGCATGTACCATGCTTTTGTCAAAATTCCTCACATTTTTGTGCCATTTAGGTAAACATGCATAATGTTTTTGCATGCATACATGATCAAAGGCACAGGTAGCAGTTTTGTTGATTACCAAAAGCAATGACTAAGAGAGTCCCTTGTTGGAATGAACTGTGCCAGTATTGACCCACTCACCTCACTGTCTACCCACTTCTCAATAATAAACACCAAATCAGCTTTCTTTCTACTATCAAGTCATACAGAAGAAACGTCTTAATAGTCACAAATGAGTGTTCACCACCAGATTTGTGTGGAAACATTTCACTCACCATTCCCTTCAAAGCAATAAAGTCTAGGTTGAGACAGAGCTTCTTAAATATTTTTCCTCTACCTACTATGCTACATCTAATGTCCCTAATTCCCCTGTCCAAATTAGCAGTTCAAAAAAACTGGAATGCTATGTGGAAGAGATGCTATCTATATATAATGGTACACATAAATGAATAGTTGGGTTGCCTTATTTGTAAAAGCTAGCACTTAGGTGATTGTTGAACTTGTAATCTCCTTTGATTATTAGTTCTTTTGATGAGATAGCAGAGTTTACACTAACATTAGAAGCCGATCAACTCTTCTGTATTCCTTCAAGGCTGCATAAAGTCTGCAATTCTATCTTAATGTGAGAAGGAATAGGCAAGTTACAGCAATATAGAATGAATGAGTAGTACTGCGGAAAATACAAAGTTTTCTGAGCATAAAGTTCTGAGTAAGAAAGGATTCATCCTGATAATACAATGCAAAATATAACAAACATTGTAATATTTATGCATAATTGAGAATACATTTTGTTCTCTGAGATTCCTCAGTTTAGTTTCTCTTCCTCAGGCCTGAGTCATACCAAGCATTTCAGCATATTATATAAGCTTGCTCATGTAGCAAGATGCATCAGATTCTAAGCAGTTCTCTTGCTGTTGTGTTGGTAATTAAATTTCAGTACCATCAGTAAAACCAGGCTCAGAAAATTGGTTTTCCTCAAATTATATGTAAGTCACTCTAGTTTTCAAATAACCATATTGTTTTCCTTTGCTCTTAAAAACTTGCAGTCATTTGAGATGTCTTGAGGGGAGTGAACCTTCATCCTCTAGACCAGACCCGGGCATTACACGGCCCGCGGGCCACATCCGGCCTGATGGCTGACCCTGACTGGCCCGCATGAAGTCATTGGCAAATTAAAAGTCAATGCAAATATATATCGTCGTAATATAGATGCAAGCAATACAACTGCACTGCTTTTATTTTGAAGGATCTGCTAAATTGAATTGAATTTATTGCTTTTCATGTAATGTTAATGTTTTTGTGAATATTCATTAAATAGTGTTGTTCTGTGCTCCACATTTTCATTGTATCATAGTAATGTTTCATTTACTGTTTTTATAGAGATATATATTGAGCAGAGCTGTAGTGTATTGGTCTGGCCCTTAACAACTGTCAAAGTTTCTCATGTGGCCCCATAGGAAAATTAATTGCCCACCCCTGCTCTAGACACTCATAAGGGTGAGGGGTGGGGTCCAAAGGATAATTTGGATTCCCAGATCAAAGGCTACAAACAGAGCTCTGTTCTCAGAACTGAAAATCTGTGCTCCAATTTGCCCTCTTCCCTGTACAGTCAGCATGGAAAAAACTGTATCAGCTGCTTTTCTATGGTCAGGAAACTGAACATGGAAGCAATAAAAGGCATATTCTGTGTGACATGGAGGGGAAATGGAGGCCACCTAAAGGATCTTGAGAGCACTGTGGCCTCCTTCCATCTACCTCCAAACTGTCTCAGCTAGCCAGCCAGCTGAAACAGCCTTCTAGATAAAATGCAGAGCAGGAGCAAGAAACAAAGATTGCCTCTGCGTCTCTTCCACTGCATTCGATGTTCATAAGTCCCAAGTTCAGGGACTTACAAGCACTGAGGGTGAAAATAACAGGACTGTGCCCTAAGGTGCTACAAAGCTCTGTCACTTTTGCTGCAACAGGGATTCATAAGATTAAGAAAAAGAACAAGTGGGAGTTAACAGCTATGCACCTTGCACATTAGAAAACTGACTTCAACAAATTTAAAGAACTACTGAATGCATCCCCATGAGTCATGCTTTAACAGAAGGAATGTGAAGATGGGTGAGAGTTCTTTAGAAATGAGATATTGAAGGCAAAAATTGTAAACTACCTCAGTGCCCTAAAAATGGGAAGCATCTAAAGAACTTGGAATGCCTACATAAGCAGTTTAGATTTAAAAGGGGCATATGTAGGAAATGAGAGGGGCAAAGCACTGAGGACAAGTACAAAATTGTAGAACAGTGGCAGGACTTTTAGCGTTAAAATGAGGCTTGAAAGGGAATGCAAAACAAAAGGGGAGTTTTGTTATGCTCAGAGCCACTGGAAGAACAAGGAAGTGGTATACTCACTGTGCAAAGATAAAGAAATCTTAGCAGGCAACAGAGAGTGCAGAACTGCTCAACTCCTCAGTCTTCCACACAGGAATGTGTGCTTGACTTGGCAAGGCAAATCAAATGGTGAAGTAAGGGGTTACATCCACTTAGCCTGATGAAAAGTTCTTGGTAAGTTGAAAAATGGCAGTTGTTTCTGAAATTCTGGTTGGTCCTTATAGGGGTATTTATTACACAGTTGTGGATTATAGTATTTTAATGTGATTTTTGTTTTTAAAATCTTGTGTCCCAAGCCTTAGAAAGGATGCAAATATAAATACCAGCCTTTTACGGTGCAGTATTCACAAATGAGCACCTTCTGTCTTAAGCACTAACCCACATTATTCCAAGATCCAGATTTTAGAAGCCTGGCCTTCTGCACCTTGAAGGGAACCAGACTTGCTGAAAGAATGCCTTCCGTATGAGCCTGCCTAGATCTTCTGTAGGAGGTCTTTTTCCAAGACCACTGCCTTCAGAGCTACTTTTGGTGGCAAAGCAAAAGGGCGTTCTCAGTGGCCACTCCCCAGCTACAGAAGTCTGCGTGAAGGAGCTTGGTTTGTTTACTCTCTGCTGTCTTTCCACTGGCAAGCAATGACTGCTTTATTCAAGTGGCTCTTTAGAGTATAAGCAGGTTGGTTGAGATAGAGTTTGTTTTTACTTTGTTACAGTGTTTTTACCTGTGTTTAATATATTTGTTTTATTATTGCTCATGCAAGTTTCTTGCAAAGTGATTGCAAGCCACCCGAGAGCCATTCTTGGTAGAAAAGTGCGGTACAAGTCAAATACTATATAAACTTCAGGAACACTTTCTGAAAGTCTTACCTGCCACATGAATTTGTAAAACTAAAATATTTCATTCCCCAAAAGGCTTGTCTTTAATGAAACTATATAGTTTTATCATGTATTCCACACAATCAACATTATTAAAGCATATTGTAAAGAGAAACTACATACTGCCATATTTTAAGTATAAAATATAGGCTAACATTTCTATTACTGTTAATCTTTGTAGGTTCCAGTTAAGTTTGAAAGGTTATGTCCACATTGATTAACTCACATTAATTACACCACATTGCTCAAACCTGCTGTAGGACTGAACAATCTACTTTGAGGCGGCAGTTCACCTTGGGCAAAGCTCATCTTGCTTGTAGCAAAGTGAGCCAGAACAAACAGCAAGTTGATGGATAAAACACTGAAATGGTGGGAGGAAAGGTGCTCCCCAGTCCTGACATTTGGAGCTTATTCTCAAATTCCCAGTTCAGCTTTTGCCTGTGTAAATTAACAAGAATACTGCCTTGGAACACGGATCGAGTATTTTCTGATAACATTGGCTAACCACATCCATATTTGGCACTTCTCCAAGAACTGAAACACCTGACAGGATAGTTCAGCCTTCCCCAATCTGTTGCCCTCTGGCTGTGTTTTGACTACAACTCCCTGAAACCCTCAGTCACTTGCTTGGGGCATTCTGGGAGTTGCAGGCTTCTTTAACCTGGCTTGGGGTACGTTAGCTCTTACTCCCCTAGCATTCGGGTCCCCGTACAGCCAACTCAACTTGTCTGTAGAAACGACGCGAGTTGAGGGTTATATTCTCCAGTCTCCTTTTACGGACATCCTTACCTAGAAGCAGGTGGATGCACCTATGGAAAGCAAGAAGACACGTCTGCAGATAGACCTGAACGCCCTGCAGTTCGCTTGCACCTGTACGTCTCTGTGCGCGCGCGCGACAGGAGCAGCGACGCTCCCCGTGCCCGTCCCCTCCCTCCGCTTTCGCCGCTCTCGTGAGCAGGACAGGAGAGGGGAAGGGAAGGGAAGGAAAGGAGGAGTGTGAATGCGGCTGTTTCCCCATTGGCCGTGCGCCGGAGTCCCTCTCCCTTGCCCCGCTCTGGAGAACGAGGGCGCTTGGAAAGCGAGACTGTTGTCGCCGCCTTCTCCTCCTCCGAGTGCGGCCAACGAGTCGCGAGCGAGAGAGGGTGAGTGCGCGCGGTGGCCTCTGGAGAGGAGGGGCGGCTTTTTGCTCGCTTCGCCCGCTGCCCCAGCCGGGGGAGGCTTTGCTGCGCTAAGGAGAACTCCTGGGCACGCGCCCCTTCCCCCTGCAGCAGCGCCGCCGCCGCCAGAAGAGGAAGCGCGGTGGAGGGTCCCTCCTTTTTTTCTCCCTCCCTTGGCTTGTTTAGTGGGGCTATTGGCTGCTGCTCTCCTTCCTTCCTCCTTTCCTTCCTTCCTCCTTCCCCAGCTTGGGGAAGGTGAGTGGAAAAGGCCTTGCACGAGCGGGGGAAGAGGGCGGAGGAGGAAGGGTGTCCCCCGCTTTGAGCGAACGAGGGTCAGCGGGGAATGCCTCGTGCTGTGGATTTCGTCTCCGGGCAAGCGGGCGGGTTTTAGCTTGCTATACTCTATGTAGTAGCAACAGTAGTAGCGGTGGTGGAGGCTCCTCCTGGGAGCACGTCCTAGTTGACCGGGTAACGGAGGGGGAGTCGCTGAGGAATGTTGCGTCCGTGCAGCTCGGAGGCGCCTTCCTGAGGAGAAATGGTGGCTTGTGGTGTTCCTGCATTTGCTGCGGGGAAAGAAAAAAAGGTGAGGCGTTTATGAGGAAACTGGGCTTGGGATTTGGGTGATGCATTCGTCGTCGCCCCCCTCCCCCCGGAAAGGAAAGAGCTTTAGCTCTCTCCAGCTCGTGTGTTTCCAATTTACAGATTTTGGGAAAGGGGAGACGAGGAGAGGCGATCCCTTATGTACGTGAGGCAAGGGAAAGAACACGGCCTCCATTTGTTGTGACCCAAATTGGTAATCTAGACCCAGTGGTTCTTAGAAAGCAAAGTTTAACCGGCCAGTGCCACCCAGGATTTATGGATCGCTTTCTCTCTCTCTTTCCCTGTGGCGATTCTGAAACCGTGCTTGCTTATGACATTTGGCATTACCGGCGTAGACTCTGTATTGCAGTGTGCAGATAATGATATAACCACACCCCTCTTGAAAACATAGGCATTTGGATTAACCCCCTGTTTTTCTTTACCTCTCTCTTTAGGACTGGCCATGCAGCCATGCATAAAGTGTTGGAGGATCCTTCCAGGGATGTGGTGATGAGTTGAAAGACAAGGACAGTCAAGTGGTTTTTCTTTCTGAGGAGTGGCAGTTATCATGACCGTCTTCAGGCAAGAGAATCTGGATGACCACTATGAGATTGGAGAGGAACTTGGAAGGTAAAGCACTTCTTAGAAAGAAAGCTCTTGTGGTGTGTGCCTTTTTAAATAAAACCCTGTGGGGACAGTGTGTATTTATTGTATTTCTATAGTACAAAAAAGCTGGTGTTCGCTAGGAGCCACAGAGCAAGCAGGACAGGGAGACTGTAGTGATGCTGTTCCCTTTTTACTCCAGAAAAGTGGAAAGGGAATATGAGAAACAACAGACTGTGCTGAATATGAATTTCAGTGACCTGCAGATGTGCAGCAGATTAAAGAATCTACCTTGTTATCTTCTAGATCCTGTAAGAGTTAATCTCTAGGCCAGAAGCAAAACGTGTTACACTAAGGCTGGCAACAGTAGTGGCATTGCTATTAGTGCTGTATAGATAGGTCTCTTCTGGCATAAATACGGATGACACTTTCTTAGAAAGGTGGTTCCAAGATAATGTAATTTGCTGCTTTCAGTAAAGATGAGGCTAGTGGGCTCAGATACAGTCTAATCCATATTTGCATGACCGTTTCATGCTGTGAGTAACTGATAATAGCAGTTTGTATGGATGATTGGTTTTTGTTTATGCGCTAAGTTCAACGATAGCAATAGCAAATTGTCTCTATGTAAAAGTAATGATCTATATAGCTACATTTTATGTATTGAATCCAGACAATTTCTAGGATATGTTTTCATTCCAGTGAAGATCAATCACTTTCAAGGTATCAGAGTTCAATTATTCTGTTCCAGCCAAATGTCGGATCAAGAGATTTATAGTCATTAAGCAGTGTAGGTTTAACACAGTCTCCATAAAGCTTGTTAGTTGAATACTACAGAATGCTGTGTCTGTGCCACAGCTTTGTGATGGAAAACCCAGACCATTGACTAGCGATTATAGTTTGCTTTTGGCTTTAAATCTCCCAGCATAATTGCTAAATGAAGTATGCACTTACTGTGGTGTTGTGCTTGTTGGTTCTTGCATTTTGTTCTTAAGATATTGCTCTTTTTTAATTTAATCAAATTAGGTGAACTACTGATACCTTTGCTTTCCAATATACGAAATGTTTTACCATTCTTATCTTCACCAGGTGATTTTCAAGCCATGATTTGAAATACGCATACAAGTCATGGTTTGGGGATTGAAATAAACTCTTAGTGCAGACATCATGCCAGTTATAGAAAAACGTAGTTAATAGAGAAGGAAATACTTCTCGTGGGCTTAACACTTGAGTAGGAAAGAAAATGTGCCAAGCATCTAGTGGCGAACCTGTTCAGTGAGCTACTTGCATGAATAAGAATTTGAGTCGTAAACAGTTGAAGCTTCTCTTCATTGCTAAAATAGTGATGGTTTCTGCCTGTCCGAGTGGAATTTCCCTTGGATTGTTGCGTACACATCATGTAAAATGGCTATGCTAAAATATAAACCTGACTAAAATATAAAACAACATTTTTAATGTCTTCAATGTTGTTAAATCAGGCTGGGAAAAAAATCGTTACAGGTACTGTTAGCTGAATTTTTCAGTGTATAGGGTCTAGGAGAATCCATGTTTCATGAATGATAGGCTTGACTTTAGTCAGTTTTGAATTTGCTTCTGGTGGAATGTAATATAAAGTGATCATTAAAACAGAATTCAATTTAAGTTTAAATATTGTAGTTCTGTCTTTTTTTATGGACAATACCTCACTTTTTTGTCATTGGTGCTGATTCCTTAGTACAATTTTAAGAATTTTGAATTGAATTGCCTTAGACTGAAAGAGGTTCTGCACCCAGGATCTGGAAGCACATGAAACTACAGATGTGATCCTTTCCAGTACAGCAACTCCTTGCAGTACCAATTGAACTGCAGTCCGAGTTACCCAAGTTTGAGTTTGTAAGCCCTAAGGTTGTGGCAAAAATTATTATATTGCCAAAATAATATTTTGGAATTATATTTCTTACCTACTCTGTAGATTGCAGCAGTGGCTGCCATACTTTTTCTTCAGAATCCATTAATGCTGACTCTTTCCTAATGCTTTGCTTTAGAGGTACTTATAATGCAGAACAAAAGTAATATATTTGGAGAAAAATCTGAGTTAGAATTGAAGGGCTTATTAGTTAAGTAGAAATTGGTATGAGCTGTAATATACCACCATTTTAGAAAGCTATCTGAGAATTATCTTAATTATGGGCTCAAAGTGTCTTACATTTGAACAGATCACTGGTCTGTCTAACCAACTCTAGTTTACTCTGGCTGCAAGGACTCCTCAAAAGTGTCAAGATTTGGGCTTTCTAAGCCCTGCTACCTGAGGTCATTAAAGTGACGAAGGCAATGATTGTTAAGTATGTCATGTGTCCTTGATTGTTAAGTATTAAATGTGTCCATGAACTGGATGACTGGGAGATTTGAACCCACAGCTTTATGAATGAAGACCAGGCATGCTTATGCAAATTACACTAGTGAGACATAATGTCCTGTCTAAATCACTCTGGAAGCCAATTCACACAAATAGCTTGTGCTGGGGAGCTGCATTCACATAATTTAGATTCAAGTGGCTAGCCATATTTGTGGCTGTGACTGTGAATCTGGCCTTAGAATTACAGCTTTGAAAGTAGATTCTATCAAAACCAGCAAGACTTCTGGATGAACTATTTGAGATTGGCATGCAAAACACTGACTTGTCACATTATCTATATAAAAATACCAAACTTTAAGTAAGATTAGTAGTCCTGTACTTATCTCTTAAACAGATGTTATAAGCAATCAGTTCACCATGCAGTTTCATAAGGCCAAAGCAGATTTCATTTCCATTTGGGCTGGAAATCATTATGAAGCAAACATAAGCTTTCCCCCACCCCCCATTTTGTCCTCTTGTGGTTACAAGCAGTGTGACTGTGCATGCTAAATACACTATTCTGCAATTCCTTTATTATACTTCTGCTGTTTCGAGGACTTTGAATATGTGGTTGCCACAGCACTGCATTCTTCTGTGACTTTTTTACTGATCCTGATCACAACAGTGAAAACACTTAATCTCCATGAATGTGGCTTAATTTAAGAAACATCAAAGGCAGTGTTGCTTAAGTTCAGAGAAGTTCTGTATTGCAGTGACCTTGAACCTATAATCCTAACCTGCATGTAGCCAATAATCTTACTGAAAAGCAGATATTTCACAGTGATACACTTCCTTGAGCCATGCCACAAGAATACAGGTTAAGTTGCATGTGATAGCTCACAGAATTAAGTATGCAGAAGCTTCTAGAACATAATTTGTTGCTGAGAACATAGCAACACCCATCAGAGGACAAGTCATGCAGCACTCTCCCTCTCATTTTCCCTTTTATGTATGCAAATAGGGCTCAAACAGCCACATATTACATATGTATATACCTTTTTGTCTCTCTCTGATTATAAGATGTTATAAACTCAGCTATTTTATCTGCTTGTAAATTTCTCAGTGGTACTTTGCTGCCCATGGCTATAAGCAGAGTGATGGACTAGGTGGACGAGTGATGGACTAGGTGGACGCAAGTGAATTATCCCCTGCAGGCTAAATGCAACACAAACATAGAGCTTACGTTCCAAAAAATGAACAACTTTCATCCTTCATTTGTTGCTGCAAAACAGTATTCATTTCAGAAAAAAAGCTGGATAACTTCCTGCAAAATCCTGGACTTAAATGGCGTTTTCCATCCAAATTCCTCCACTTCCCCTTCAACATCTTTGAAAGACAAATTTATTCCTGCTTATCTCTGTGTGAAAAAAATGTCAGAAATCCCCTTCTCAAAGGAATTGGAGTTCTGACAGCAAGCTGCCAAATCTGTATGCTCAAGTAAAAGGAGTTGGGCTGCATTTTTCCATCTCTCCAAACACCTAGAGTCTTAGGAATAGACAGAAAAGTTGGAGACCCTGTCACTCCGGGGAACACAGTCCTAAGGAACCCAGTGCCAAGTGGTGGGGGCATAAATCACTCATCCTTTTTCTGAAGCCAAGATTACTTGCATCTTTGCTTCAGATTGGCAGCTTATCTTTTAACAGCATTCAAGACAATCTAATGTGCAAATTGGAGACTCTCTGGATAAATATCCATGGCTGGTTCCTGCCACACTTTGACCAGGATTTTATCAAGGTGAGGCGTTCCATTTTTGAATCCATGGAAGTACACAGACCATCTCCAGCACTGATTAATTTCAAAAACCAAAACTATTTGCACATATAGTAAAAACTGTTAAAGGGATGGCAGACCACTGACAGCACCGTTGGCTAGAGTACTTCTGAGGAGCAGTCAGTGTTTATCAAGATGAGCTTATGAAAAATGCTAGCTATGGGGTTGAGGAAGGTAAAAGGAAGGGCAAGGTAAGCCAGAATGCCTCTAACAGCAGGGTGGAAGCAGCAAGCCTGTAAGAGTTGCCCTACCATACTGGTCGGGCATCTGTAGGGTAGCTGCTACTGGCAGTGGTTTGGACAAGGTCTTCAAGAATGGCGAGGGATTTTTTTCCCCTCTTTCTGCGTGGTTCATTTTCTGTTTCTGCCAGTCCATGTTGGGGATGATTGTCCAGGTTCATATGACATGCCAGCCCACCACAGGGGAAACAGACAATGCTGCACACACTCCTGAGGAAAGCAGTCTGAGTTCAGATGACATGACAGCTAGTCATGGCTTGCTGTCTTCTTTGGTTGGTGTATCTGCTTTTGATAGCTTTGCACCTTGCGTCAAATGAATAGATTGCAACTTGACACTATAGCTGTGACAGGTTTCTTGCTGTGGTTAATGAGTGCTCCTGATAGACTTTCATTTCAAAGTGAGCATGTGAAGAACTGATGTTCTGCCAGACTAATGCTGCTTTTGGAGCATTGCCATTATAATGTTAGATGTGAGTGGCAACAGATAGGGGCATGGAAGTTAGAACATCAGTTCCTATCAAGATGCGCAATAACACGATAAATGTCATTAGTATGAAAGCCCTGCACATTTATTCAGGATTCGCTTGAGCTTTGTTAAACCAGGAAGGGCCAGATCTCACGGAGTACATGGTTTAGATGCAGAAGAA